TGTCCTGCAGAGTTTAGCTCCAACCCTAATTAAACACACCTGAAGCAGCTAATCAAGCTCTTACTAGGCATATAAACTTCCAGTCAGGTGTGTTGAGGCAAGTTGGAGCTAAACTCTGCAGGACACCGGCCCTCCAGGACCGAGTTTGGACAGCCCTGCTTTAGCGTATTCAAACCATCTTGGTGGGTTTTATAATAACTATGACCTGACGCTACCTGCACAGTTTCGGCACAGTGCCACCTAGTGGTCTGGAGATATGAAAAATGCCTATTTAAATAACTTCTGAACGGTTTGGCCAAAAATCACAAGACTGGTCTTTAGATATGCTGTGACATATCAAGTCAAACGACAGTGGCGTCAGCCATTTAAAATGTTGTCGTAAAATGCCATATTTTACGAATGCATTGGCGTATCATCACAAAACTCTGTATGTGTCATCGGCACCGTGCCCTGTAGATGCCAAAAAGTTTTGGGGCAGGAGCACCTTGTGGTCAAAAATTATAATGAAATTAAAAAAAACAATTTAATAACTTTTGATTAGTTTTGCATATTATCATGCGACTGGTCTTAATAGATTCCTTGGATCATGCCAAGAACATCAATACCAATTATGCCATAATCAGTCAAACTTCCTGTCCGTTGGCTGTATCTCTGCAAAGCTTTGGCATATTAACACAAAACTTTGAATGTGCCATCGTCATCTCACACTGAACACACCACATCAATTTGATAATAGCACCACCTATTGGTCAAAAGTGATAAATCTTTAAATCATATTACTAGTGGTTGTTGTATTCATGGTTTTTCAAATGGCTTTAATTACTTAATTGCTGCTTGCAGTTATATTTCTATTTGTAATTATTGGGTTCACCTGTGGTGTGTCACCCGGTGTATTTAAACCCGTTTAGTAGACCAAAACCTACCAAAGAACATATTAGTCATAAATTGTGCAATTCTAACAACTTTACCTCAGTGGGGAAACTCTGGAAGTTTAACTAGGATGCTTAAAAGCTTCTTTTTTTTTTTTTTTTCAGAATTTTTTTGTGGAGACACATAAATGAAACATTACTTGAATTAAGCCACCACACCAAAAATAAGAGGATCAAAATTACAGTTTGATTTCATGTTTTATGACAGGTGCAGTTTTACAGAGCCAGTGACATCTGATGGTCATGATGATCTTCTCTTGTTCAAATTCACAAATAAAACATCTAAATAACCCTACTGTTCATAAGGACAAAAATATATGCTTTAGAATGCAAAATACAGTTTCACAACCTATAAGAATGATCTTGGCCATTTAACATTGGCAGGTCTGGCAAAAACTAAATTTGGGATCCTGTGTACAGAATGTAAAAGTGACCACATTGTGTAGGCAAACGTTTTAGGCTTGAATCCATTGTGCTCAATCCCTTTTTTTTTTATCTTCATGCAAAGTTTTAATATAGTCGTAATAATTTTTTCTCTTCAGTTCCCGTCCGTGTTTTTCCAGGGTAAAGCGGATCTGTGTGGGAGTCTGTGTTATGAGATCCTGAAGTGCTGCAACCATCGCTCCAGCTCCACACAGACCGAAGCCGCTGCGCTGCTCTACTTCCTCATGAGGAGGAACTTTGAGTTTACAAAGAGCAAATGCATTGTCCGCTCACACCTGCAGGTCAGTCTTCTGTTATTCTGCTCTTCTGATGTGTGGGTGTCTGTATTTGGGTTACGCTTTATTTCGATTGTCCACTTTAGACATTCTACTAACTATAAGTCACTTTGCAGCTACGTCAACTGACTCTCATTCATTTGTAATTTACAACAGCATTTTAGTGCAACATAAAAATAAATATATAAGTTTACGAGATTAAAGTTATAATATTTTGAGAATAAAGTCAATATTTTCAAAATAAAGTCAGTATTTTGAGAATGAAGTCATTGTATTTTGAGAATAGAGTCAAAATTACGAGATTAAAGTCGTAATATTTTGAGAATAAAGTCAATATTTTCAAAATAAAGTCAGTATTTTGAGAATGAAGTCATTGTATTTTGAGAATAGAGTCAAAATTACGAGATTAAAGTCGTAATATTTTGAGAATAAAGTCAATATTTTCAAAATAAAGTCAGTATTTTGAGAATGAAGTCATTGTATTTTGAGAATAGAGTCAAAATTACGAGATTAAAGTCGTAATATTTTGAGAATAAAGTCAATATTTTCAAAATAAAGTCAGTATTTTGAGAATGAAGTCATTGTATTTTGAGAATAGAGTCAAAATTACGAGATTAAAGTCGTAATATTTTGAGAATAAAGTTGTATTTTGAGAAAAAAGTCAAAATTACAAGAAAAAACTCTTGTCAACACAAGATTGAAGTTGCAATATTTTAAGAATAAAGTCAATATTTTCAAAATAATGTCAGTATTTTGAGAATGAAGTCATTGTATTTTGAGAATAGTCAAAATTACGAGATTAAAGTCGTAATATTTTGAGAATAAAGTTGTATTTTAAGAATAAAGTCAAAATTACAAGAAAAAACTCTTGTCAACACAAGATTGAAGTTGCAATATTTTAAGAATAAAGTCAATATTTTCAAAATAATGTCAGTATTTTGAGAATGAAGTCATTGTATTTTGAGAATAGTCAAAATTACGAGATTAAAGTCGTAATATTTTGAGAATAAAGTCAAAATTACAAGAATAAATTCATAGCAATACAAGATTGAAGTTGTAATATTTTAAGAATAAAGTCAATATTTTCAAAATAAAGTCAGTATTTTGAGAATTAAGTCATTGTATTTTGAGAATAGAGTCAAAATTACGAGATTAAAGTCGTAATATTTTGAGAATAAAGTTGTATTTTAAGAATAAAGTCAATATTTTCAAAATAAAGTCAGTATTTTGAGAATTAAGTCATTGTATTTTGAGAATAGAGTCAAAATTACGAGATTAAAGTCGTAATATTTTGAGAATAAAGTTGTATTTTAAGAATAAAGTCAATATTTTCAAAATAAAGTCAGTATTTTGAGAATTAAGTCATTGTATTTTGAGAATAGAGTCAAAATTACGAGATTAAAGTCGTAATATTTTGAGAATAAAGTTGTATTTTAAGAATAAAGTCAAAATTACAAGAATAAATTCATAGCAATATGAGATTAATTGTCGTAATATTTTGAGAATGAAGTAGTATTGTCACGTTTTCAGTTGGTTTAGAGTTTGTTTTTTATCAGTTTTTTCTGTTCTCAGTTTCATGATCCGTTTTCTACCTGTTAATTAGTTCAGTTCTCCTTGGTCCCCTGCCTGTTTGTTTCTGTGGTTACTGATTAATTTGAGTCCTCTCAGTTCAGGTGTGTTTGCTCGTTAAGTCTCTCTATTTATTCTCTCAGTTTTGGGTCCCTCTTGGTTCTGATATTAGTGTTAATTTAAGCTGTATTGTTTTAGTTAATACAGATCTTCCTGTGTAATCCTGAATTTTTTTTGTTCATTAAAAATTTCCCTTGCTGTGAGAGTTTGAATAATACAGCGTGACAAGTATATGGCGTGAATAAAATTAATGTTAAAATCCACCTACAGTACTCTGCAAAAGACATCTGTGACGTCCAACCTGTCATTCTTCACATTGTATTTAACATTAAAAACAGCAATAAAAACTTCTGAAGGTTGAACTGGGCTCCAACGCATTAATTTAAGTTATAATATTGTGTTTGTTTTTTCTGAGGTAAATAATGTTATGTGACTATTCACAAGCTGTTATTGACAGTATAAATGCTTGGAAATAATACTTCACATCTTAAAGTGTTTCACATTATCAAAATATTATGACTGTAATCTCATAGTTTTAGATTTTTTATTTTACATGCCACTAAAACACTGCCGCATAACTACATGTAAACTAACTTTCATTAGTGTATTAGTAGACTGTTAGGTTAGGGTTAGAGTTAGTAGAATAAGTTGACATGTACTTACCAAGTTACTTATAGTCAGTAGAATGTCCATCAAAATAAAGTGTTAGCGATGTTAAGCACACAGTCACTAATACTCTAATGATGAGGTTGCAGAGTTATTATAGTCAGTAGAGTGTCTAAAGTGGACCATCAGAATAAAGTGTTAGCCTGTATTTGTGTGCCTGATGTGGAGGTGTATGACTGGCTGGTTTGAGGATTGAATGTGAGATACAGACATTGAAGCTGATTTGGATTCTTGTCTTCTTCTCCTCCAGGTGATTAAAGCTGTGAGTCAGCTGATCGCTGATGCAGGTATCGGTGGTTCACGCTTCCAGCAGTCTCTGGCCATCATCAACAACTTCGCCAATGGAGACACGCCACTTAAAGTGAGAGTTTAGCAAAGATAACACTTTAAGGCTGTGCTATTGCAAAAATAGTGGGAGATTTCAAACCACAAAATCAAAATATGAACTTAGCTGCTGAAATTGTTTTCGATTCCGTTTGATTCATTCACTGGATCGTTTGCAGCGGTTTCTCACACTGAAATAGTATTTTATAAGACAGAAAACAAAAAGAATTATATGCAAGCCAATGTAGAAAATGCCATATCATTTGTTTACAACGAACCAGCTCTTTATTGCATGTGCATCTTGTGAACAACTCAGTCCTGCACGTAAAGATGATTTATATCCATTTATATCCAAAGCCATATCAATATCAAAGTATGGGCACACTTTTTTGCTCCGGGGTCCTGTGCCCCTGGACTGATGAATGGCTAGAAATACCCCTGTTTTGAAGTAAATGAAGCTTAAACGTGGCAAAACACCTCAAGAAGCCATAGTTAAATGCATGCAAACAAGAATTGAGAGCAACGGTGCAGGACCATTTTAGTCATGAAAGACAACCTTGTGCTGTATCGTTACAAAAACATAATGTTAAACAACAGATCTTTTGCTTTCTTCCAGAACACAACGCTCCCGGCTGAGGTGAAGGACCTCACCAAGAGGATACGCACCGTCCTGATGGCCACCTCCCAAATGAAAGAGCATGAAAAGGACCCGGAGATGTTGGTGGACCTGCAGTACAGCCTCGCCAACTCCTACGCCAGCACACCTGAGCTCAGACGCACCTGGCTAGAGAGCATGGCCAAGATCCACGTTAGAAACGGAGACCTGTCTGAGGTCCGAATGACATCATCGAGAGGATCTTTTTATTAGCTGCATGAATGGAGCTTGTGCAACACAAAACAAGATGCTAGAAGAAGACTTACTATATACAATGAATGAGAATGATGATTGTCGGTCCCTAACATGTTGGAAAAACATGAGGGTGTGAATTTTCATTTTTGAGGGAACTATTCCTTTGGGCTAAGGGTCAGTTCAATCAAAAATGAAAATTTGATGAATATGTCCTCACTCTCAGGCCATCCAAGATTAGGATGAGTTTGTTTCTTCATCAGGTTTGGAGAAATGTAGCATTGCATCAGTGTCTCAGCAATGGGTGCTCTGCAGTGAATGGGTGCCGTCAGAATTAGAGTCCAAACAGCTGATAAAAACATCACAATAATCCACAAGTAATCCACACCACTCCAGTCCATCAGTTAATGTCTTGTAAAGCCAAAAGCTGCATGTTTGTAAGAAACAGATCCATTATTGAGATGTTTTAACTAAAATTTGTGTCCATAATCCATAATAACGCTTCCTCCAGTGAAAAGGTCATCTGGTCTGAATCAGGAGAGAAATCTGCACAGATTAAACACCGTTTACAAGCCAAAACAGCTCTAAACAAATATGTGGGTTGATTTGGATGTGAGAAACAACAGGAGATGGACTTTTTCACTGGAGGGAACGTTATTATGAATTATGGACTTGTATTTTGGCCAGAAGCAATGGTTTGAAGTTAAAACCTCTTAATGATGGATTTGTTTCTTACAAACATGCAGCTTTTGGCTTCATAAGACATTAACTGATGGACTGGAGTGGTGTGGATTATTGTGATACTTTTATCAGCTGTTTGGACTCTCATTCTGACGGCACCCATTCACTGCAGAGCATCCATTGATGAGACTGGGTCAACGTTCCTTTAAAGCTTCATTCATGCAGATGTCAGTGCCTCAGATTTGAATTTGTTTGAAAGAGACTAGTGCTTTTGTTAATTAAAAATGACATTTTGAAAACACTGTTCATTGTCCACTTCAGGCGGCCATGTGCTATATCCACATCTCAGCACTTATAGCAGAGTCTCTGAGGAGGAGAGGTGAGCACCTGCTTGTGGCGATCAGTATTTAAGTAATCCCTGCTATCAATGTGCGCCTAACATCAATGTGATAGTCTCTCAATTTTTATTTTGCAAACATTGCATAAATAGCCTTCCTATTGAGCTTTCGTTTGACATGCTGTTTGACCATTGCTGCTCAGTTGTTGTTGTTTTTTTCAGTGCTGCACTTCATAATGAAAAATGCTCATTCCTGCCACTTGCTTTATTCCTTATACTGTGAGTTTTTGTGGCCTTGTCATTAGATGCATTCAAGCTGATTGTGCGTGCATGCTAGCGTAGATACATGAATTACAGTAGATGCATGGCTGGAGCACTTGCCTTCGCTCTAAGTTTGAAATAGGGGTGAGCAGTGTGAACAAAATTATTATTACATTATGACTAATTGAATATAATGTTAACAGTATATATCATAATATAGCTATTTTTACTGAAAATTCAATTAACGGCTGTGGATTTTTATAAATGCTACTTCATATCACTTCATTATCATTAACATTATAGCAAAATCTCCACCGACTGACTCTTGCACGGTGCATCCCGTCATACTGCTCAGCCCTAGGTTGCGAGTAAACCTGTGTTAAACCTGATGCCACTCTGCAATCACAGGTTACTGGAAGTCTGAGAAGGGTCGGATCTCAAGTGTGAGCAAAGAGGGAGCCTGTGTAATTAACTCTAGCCCCTTACTAACTCCCCACGATGGAGAAAGTGAGTGCACCTCCGCCTGCCCCGTCCTGCAGTGTTCTTCACCCCATCAGGGGTCCGAGTCTGTCTTACTGTCTAAACTAAAACAGAGTTACTATTATTACAGAGCTACTTTTCAAGCAGCTTAGTTTACCTCAACCCTACATGTCAAGTCAGTTTTGTTTGTGTAGCGCTTTTCACAGTACATATCGTTTCATAGCAGCTTTGAAGAAAAAATTGCCACACTAAGCGAACAAAAGTCAAATGTGGCAAGGAACAGATTCCCTAAAATGTCTAGGTAGAAGATTTTAGTTACATACTTGGCCTTGTCCAGTCAGTCGGTGACTTCACACTGCAAAAATAATTTTCTTATTCACTGTTGTATCTTGTTTTACGAAAATACGAAGATTAATATTAGTGTTAATAGATGAACCGATGGATAGGTAGTTACAAGATGCATAGATGAATGAATGAATAACATACTCCCTGTGTTTGTGCATGAACCTGCAGCATCGTTCAGTATGGGCTGGGCCGCCTTCATGAACATCTCTCCTAATGTGAAAGAAGAGGGAGCGATGAAGGAGGACGCCGGCACTCAGGACACTCCGTACACTGAGGTGCTGAATCACTCCACACATCTCAGAGGAGTGATCGCTTCAAACGTCTCTCATAAACATGCTGAAGGGTCTTTCTGTCCTGTAGGACACGCTGGTGGAGCAGCTGGAGATGTGTGTGGATTACCTCTGGAAATCTGAGAGATACGAGCTCATCGCAGAGATCAACAAGCCTGTTATAGCTGTCTTCGAGAAGAGACGAGATTTCAAGGTACTTGGACTGTTTATTGGTGGACTGATAGGAAAACACAAGGGACGTGTTTATGAACTGTTTCTGTGTGTCCTGTAGCGGTTATCAGAGCTGTACTACGACATTCACCGCTCGTACCTGAAGGTGACAGAGGTGGTGCACTCTGAGAAACGCCTGTTTGGACGCTACTATCGTGTGGCTTTCTATGGACAGGTGAGACACTCACTCACTCACTCAAACACTTGCGCAAATGTGCGGTTCTTACTTAACTCACTGATATTTCTGCAGTCATGATGCAATCTGCACTATTGTCTGCAAAGAAAAGCTCTGCTATCACATGTTGACGTTATTTTTTAGGTTCATAACAACACTGAAAAAAAAAATATTTGGACAAACTTAAAAAATGCTCTAAATTATAATTAATACAGAATATATTGACATGCTTTAATGTTCAAAAAACACATTATTTTTCAAATACTGTACATTATTGTAGGTCCTCTATGCCCCGCCTAAATCGCATCATATGACCCCTTTAATATTAATCAAATATATGTCTTTTCCCAAAGACAATAACATTCATATAAAGTAAAAATAATAGACCATATAAACTTAATCGATATATTTTAATGAATGTCTTTTATTGTCATTACAATGAAATGAGTAGAGTAGCTAAAATGTTGAATTTTCTCTAAAACTAAAATCATTTTGTTTGTCAATGTTTCATTTCGCAAAACCTTCGAAAGACTTTAGTGTTTATTGTGATGTCCTTTTAAAATATGCATCATATTCTCCATTATGTACTACCAAAAAAGAAAGTAAAAAAACAAAAAATTACACAAAAATGAAGAAAACCCACAATAATTTCTGCAGTCGTAAAGCTGCAGTATGTGTTCTGCACATCTAAACTCTGGTCTCTGGTGTCAAGCCAAAATAGCATTTAAACAAAATTGTTTGTTTAATTTTTTCATTGACGAGGGTTATTTAGTTTTAGACAAACTGAACAAAACGCAGTCATACACGCCTGATTCAGGCCATCAGTTCATTAGTAGAGACTCCCCGACCTCAAGTATGGGCTGAGATTTAGGTCCCACTTTATATTTGCTTATATTATTGTGAACTGCATTTTTATCTTACAATATTTCCTTATAAGCTGCACTTAAAATGTTAGTAGGATTTTTACGTCAAAAACTGCCAGAATTTGGGGAAAAAGGCCATTATTTTAGCCCTCTGATTTGAACACTGATTGGTCCATGATCTAGTTTAAGTAGTCTATGCTAATTTTGTATTCCATCGCTGATTCTGGAAAATCGTTTTAGCGCCACTCAGGTTATCAGTTGTGTAGCAACAGTCTGTCCATTGCAAACCTTTTTTTAATTTGTCAGTGGACTCGTGCTGCAACAAGTTGGTTTGTGAACAGGCCTTTAAACCTCAACAAACTTTAAAAGTGTCATGTTGAAAAAATAAAATCAGGTAGCAAATAAATACAAACTGATGTGGAAACTCCAATGAACATGACTAGTATGAGTTCACTCAAGTTTTATTAATCCAAGTGTTTAAGGCAAATAAAAAATGGTCTGATCTCCTGGGCTCGTATCCCAGAAATCAGTGTGTTTAAACACTCTTCTGTTCTCTCCTGTGTGTTGTGTATATATCAGGCAGTGGTAAGTTCAGTTCATTTAAGTTGCCATCTTTTCATGGTTTAACACTCCTAATCTCTCCCTACATGCTAATAATGTGTGTGACATGAGTCTCACATGGTTTGATCCCGGACATGATCATTCTCCTCTGCAGATCTAATCCTGAGCATTTATATTGTGTGTGTACATTGTGAGTGCCTTCAGGTAAATCAAGTTGTGTTTCAGACAGAGACTAAATCTAAATATGATGTTAACCTTCATTACAAAAGTTGAGTTCATTGTGCTTTGTCAAACACTGCTGTCATTTTAACAGCGTGTTGCTTTTACTGTTCTGTTAACAATTGGGCTTTTGATCCACATTATTTTTAACATAAGAGCAGCTGCATCTATTTGTAACTTGAATGTGTGAAGCTTCTAGTTATTTTAGCTGTACAAAAACAGTCCGCTATACTGCTTGATATTGCAAACTGGTATTTGTTATCATTTTATTTGAATATATTATTGTAATCATAAACACACTGGTTTGTAGCACTAATACACTAAATACAAAACGTTTTACCATTCACTGTACTTTGTTATTCTTATAGTTATTCATGCATAGCAGCTAATGAATCAGAAATCTCGCACATTAGGGAAAACACTTTGCAGGATTCGTGAAGCCAGGATAAAAACTGGAAAATAATCCTAAACCAGTGACAAAAAAATAAACATTTTCATTAAGGGATATTTTTCCCATTAAATTGATTTCCAGGGACAGTTTTTGACCTCAAATTTTGAACCTTATTAAATATATGCGTCATCTTTCGTGTCAATTCATATATTTATTAAATAAATGCAATTAGAATAAGACACTCTAGACAACAGTTAAATGAAATTAATTTCAATATAATCCATGTTGGCACTCCAGAAGTACATGCATTTAGTTGTTTTTACACAGACTGGTTAATGAAGCCCAGAGATGCCATGAATGCATTTACACTACAGTTACAATTGCATAAATAATGTTAGGAGATTCATATAAAATATACTGAATTCATAACTATGAAATATGAAACTAAAAGCCACCGGTAGGTGGTGACAAGTGACTGTCTTAATGAGTGAGTCACTGAGTCATTCAACCAATTCATTCAAAACGGCTGATTTCATTCAGGAGTAAAGCTGGCTGATTTCAGAAGTGTGTACTAGTATACTTCTCTTACTATTTCTGCCATATAAAGACACGCTAAAATAGTAAGAGTAGTATACTAGTATGTAGTACGTATTTAACAACTGTCTTTATGAATGGTTGAATCATTGACTCACTTGATTCGTTCAAACACACAGAATCCTTCAGGAATGAAACACCACTGTTAATCATAGATGCAATAATTGGTGAAATAGAGCAAATCAGTCCATACTGATAATATTGAGTCTAAAATGTACGTCACTTGTAACTTGAATATTGACATTTGTTTAGTTATTTATTTATTATATACCATTGTATAAAGTATAAAATAAAGATCTTAAAAGAAGGACAGATGAGCAACCGGCTGAAGTCTGTGCTGGTAGATGGACAGTCCAATCTAAAACCGGACAGATGGCCACCCTGTCACACATTCACAGAAAAATAGCTTACTTCCATGCAAAACAAGGTGGATGCTCTGTACTAGACACACTGTAGTTCATGTGCTGCTGTGTTGTTTTCACCAGGGCTTCTTTGAGGAAGAGGAGAGTAAGGAGTTTATCTACAAGGAGCCGAAGCTCACAGGACTGTCCGAGATTTCTCAAAGACTCCTCAAACTCTACTCAGACAAGTTTGGAGCTGATAGCGTCAAGATGATCCAAGACTCCAACAAGGTGTGTCCTGCTGGATCCACTGTACCTCCTTTCTCTGACCTGTGAATAATCTCGTCTGAATCACAGTGAATAACAGTGTTGTTTACTGTGTGTTTTTCGCAGGTGAATCCTAAAGACCTGGACCCCAGATTTGCCTACATCCAGGTGACCTACGTAGTGCCTTATTTTAATGAGAAGGAACAGCTGGAGAAGAAGACTGACTTTGAGTGCCATCACAACATCAACCGCTTTGTCTTTGAGACGCCCTTCACGCTTTCTGGAAAAAAACATGGAGACGTGGAGGAGCAGTGCAAAAGAAAAACCATCCTGACCAGTAAGGCAAATTAACATTACATCAAAACTGAAACAAGAGGAAAACACCTTTATAGACCTTTCTATATGTGACCCTGCAGCACAAAAGCAGTCTTAAGTCGCTGGGGTATATTTGTAGCAATAGCCAACAATACATTGTATGGGTCAAAATTATACATTTTTCTTTTATGCCGAAAATCATTAGAATATTAAGTAAAGATCATGTTCCATGAAGATATTTTGTAAATTTCCTACCGTAAATATATCAAAACTTAATTTTTGATTAGTAATATGCATTGCTAAGAACTTCATTTGGACAGCTTTAAAGATGATTTTCTCAATATTTAGATTTTTTTGCACCCTCAGATTCCAGATTTTCAAATAGTTGTATCTCAGCCAAATATTGTCCGATCCTAACAAACCATACATCAATGGAAAGCTTATTTATTCAGCTTTCAGGTGGTCTATAAATCTCAATTTCGAAAAATTTACCCTTATGACTGGTTTTGTGCTCCAGGGTTTTGTTTTTGGTTTTGTTTTCATATGATGAAAACAATTTAAAGGTGCCGTAAGCTACTGAAGCTTTGAAAAAGGTAACTGTGACTTTTTATCTCACAATACATCAATTTTTTTTTTTTTTTTTACTTTAGATTCTGAGAAAAAAAAAGTCTGAATTGTGACATGTAAAGTCAGAATTGCGAGATGCAGACTCAGAATTGTGAAATAAAGTGTCGCAATTACCTTTTTTATGTTTAATTCTGTGGTAGAAACAAAAAAACAGAATTCGGGGGAAAAAAGTCAGAATTGTGAGAAAAAAGTAAGAATTCTGGGTTTATATGTCAAACATTTGACTTTCAAAATTCTGACTTTTTTCTTGCAATTCTGAGAAAAAAAAGTGAGAATTGTGAGATTTAAACCCACTGTATGGGGAAAAGTCAGAATTTTGTGTTTATATCTCACAATTCTCAGTTGATGTCACAATACTGAGTTTATATCTTGAATTTCTGACTTTATGTCTTAATTATCTTTTTTTCTTGCAATTCTGAGAAAAAAAGTGAGTGTAAAGCCTCGTACACACCGGGACGATTATCACCAACGTTTTTCGATCAATGTGTGCTCGGCAAGACCGTTTTGTGCTTGAGCGCCACCAAGTCATGTTTTACTGTAACTTCAGCAGCTCCAAACACGTGAACAAAAGCATCAATCTCATTGGTCGGACAGTTTTTAACGCGGTGCGTCAAACCAAAAAAACGAGCCCGAGGCGTTTTTTAAAAAACGACACTTTTACGCCTCGCGTTTTGCGCGTCGGTGTGCACACTCACATTGGCGCCCTTTGTTTAGTCACGAGGCGTTAAACGTCGGCGATAATCGCGCGCGATATTCGTCCCGGTGTGAATAAGCCTTAAAGGTTTGACGCGCCGCGTTAAAAACTGTCCGACCAATGAGATTGGCACTTTTGTTCACATGTCTGGAGCTGCTGAAGTTACAATAAAACACGACTTGGTGGCGCTCAAGCACAAAACGGTCTTGCCGAGCGCACATTGATACCTAACGCTTTTTGATACCTACCCTTTCTCAGAATTCTCAGAAAAAAAGTGAAATATAAATGCAGATTTGCAAGGGGGATCAAAATTGTGAGAAAGTCACAATTACCTTTTTTATTTTTTTTTATCCCGTGGCGGAAATGGGCTTCCATAGTAAGCATTGTTAGGCATTCTAGAGCTTCTGCTCGGCTTAGCAACTGAATTATACACACTGCTTCTTTCAAGAGGGTGTCGAGCAGAAACTCAGCAAGCATTGCATTTGTTTTCAAGCACTTTGAAGCATTCAGCTTCCTTCTTCCTCAGTCTTCCTATTGCTTTTAGGATATTCGGCTGTGTAAGCCATTGTTGACAGTTGGATAAAAAGACAATAACAAGCCATTATCAGCTTGATTTATAGGCTCATTACATATTTCACATGTTTATGTGGTGAGCTAGGCACAAAAGCACACTCATTTAGATTTACAAAGATTCATTATGGCAGTAAAAGTAATGACTCAACAGATGTTTTTTTTTTTCATTCAAATTTAAGTCATTTAAGACTGGAATACTCTACACAGCTTTTAAAATCTGAACCGATATTTAAAAAACTATGCATCCTATACCAACATTATATTTTCCGACACATATTTCATGATTTAAAGGGGAGCTCACAACACTACTGTACGTATGTGCACAAAACTTCAGAGAAGGAGGATTATTTTCTGCAAATTATCCCATAAAAGAAAAAAAAGTTACAGCACTTTAAATTGATTACATTCCAATACAAAAGTAACATGGGTGTTGAATGCCATTTCACGTTGGTTTCAGAGTGAATAGCACAACAGGCCATTGTAAATACATGAATATATGGACAATATTGTCAGAAGCACTGACCTAATAATAGCCATTTTGTATTTTTGACAGAATGGATATCTGTTTTTCTTTGCGAACCTGGCAAATATTTGATGTTACAGACCCTTTCTTTAAACACGTTCAGACCTGTACTGTCTGTGTTCTTCCACAGCGAGCTCCAGTTTTCCCTTCTTGAAGAAGCGTATCGAGGTGGTGGAGCAGCAGAGCACAGAGATGAACCCCATCGAGGTGGCGATTGACGAGATGAGCCGCAAAGTGTCTGAGCTCAATCAGCTGTGCGGCATGGAGGAGGTGGACATGATCCGGCTGCAGCTCAAACTACAGGGCAGCGTCAGCGTGAAGGTGAGCGATGCACACAAGATGCACTGATCCTGCATTAGTATGAGTGGATGTGCACGTCCACAGCGATATATGATATTAAATATAATGTGCAGCATCCTGAATTACTCTTTCAGTCATATTGCAATTTTTTTTTCTGTCTCCACATCATGCATTTAAAATTGTTCAATGCACATCTAGCCGTTTCTAAATCCTTACATAAGTGACCACATATGCAAATGCAATATATACAGTATCTCACAGAAGTGAGTACACCCCTCACATTTTTGTCAATATTTTATTATATCTTTTCATGTGACAACACTGAAGAAATGACACTTTGCTACAATGTAAAGTAGTGAGTGTACAGCTTGTATAACAGTGTAAATTTGCTGTCCCCTCCTAATGAGTCACATAACACCGGGGAGAGAAAATGGCTAATTTGAGCCCAATTTGGACATTTTCACTTAGGGGCGTACTCACTTTTGTGGCCAGTGGTTTAGACATTAATGGCTGTGTGTTGAGTTATTTTGAGGGGACAGCAAATTTACACTGTTATACAAGCTGTACACTCACTACTTTACATTGTAGCAAAGTGTCATTTCTTCAGTGTTGTCACATGAAAAGATATAATAAAATATTTACAAAAATGTGAGGGGTGTACTCACTTCTGTGAGACACTGTATATATATAAAATTTCCATATGTGAAATACATTGCCATATGAAGTAAAAACATATATGAAACCTATTAGAAATTAGAACAATTTCATATATTAACATATATTTAGTCTATACAGAAATGTATGTTTATGTATGTGTAAGACATTTTTGGTCGTAGGGTTGCAAAGGGGTGGAACATTTCTGGTAAATTTCCGGAAACTTTCCAAAAATCCCTGGAATATTCCCCAAAAAAATCCTGGAAAGTTTCCAAAATTTCTGGAATATTTCCAAAATTTACTGGAAATTATCCACCTTTTTGCATCCCTATATATATGTCATGTGCATGTATATCCATCCTAAAACCTTATAGGTAACATATATAGCAGATTCACTCTTGATATAGAGCAATATATGTCATACGCTATATTACATTTCCATAATTCTGGTAGCACTAGCATTAGCTATTCTAGCATCTTGACTAAGACTGTGGAATAGGAAAGTATTTCATGAATTTGTGTGTTGTTCTAGGTAAATGCTGGGCCCATGGCCTACGCCCGAGCCTTCCTTGAGGAGAAGAATGCCAAGAAATACCCAGACAACCAAGTCAAACTCCTGAAAGAGATCTTCAGGTACGTCTTCATTCGTTGCGGTTTTATGAAAACAAAATGCCAGGGCTCAGGAACTTTCCCTCATGCGGAGTATTTTATATATATATGGTGTTATTTTAATGCCACATGTGGAGGGCACATCCATGTAATGTAAGTTTGGTTTGTTTGGCAAGTTTTAAAGCTGGATATTTTTTATAAAAACCTCCATAATCACAATGTTTTAATGACCGTTAGAATGTGCAGACATCTTGCTAACAACACCAAAAATGTTGGATCGAGTCTCCACGTCAGGAATGTTAGACCCAACACAGGACACCAGATCCTGTCTGAAAATCTCCGTTCTGTCTGGTACCCAATTCTTGTCTGGTTCCCAAAATCAGTGTTTTACTGCATTTTGTTTATTACCTAAAACTGTATCAACAGTCTTCTGTCAGCAGACGGAGGACAAACAGGGAAGAGCGGAGGGAGTAGACAAAGTAAAGATGATTAAAAAATTAGCTTATTATCATTAAAGGATCGTTTATTAAATAATCTTAGTTGCGTTTCAGCTCTCAGACTGAATGAATATAAAAGAAGGAAATAAAACACAACGCAAATGTACAATTGCTCTCTTGAAGCAAATACACACAGGTTGCTACAACAATTCTTCATGATGTTTTAATTGCACTGAAAGCTTAAATGAATATTTACAGAAGTGTAGTGACTGCAATCCTGGTTTGTTGTTTGTGGTCCTGCAGGCAGTTTGCAGACGCGTGTGGTCAGGCCTTGAAGGTGAATGAGCGTCTCATAAAAGAAGATCAGCTGGAGTATCAGGAGGAGATGAAAGCTCACCATAAAGACATGCTGACCGAGCTCTCCGCCATCATGAACGAGCAGGTCAGCACACTTCTCCTCTGACACGCCACTAAAGATCAACTCTTTCCTCGCTATTACGTGTTTTCACTGAAATATGGTAGGGGGCGCTGTTACACATCTTCTGAAAGAGTACTGAATCTCTGGATCAAAGCACAGGTGAAAAAATACAGAATAAAACGGTTTGTTTTGTTTAAAAGCAAAGGTTCGGGTCTCTCTTTTGACATATGTGACACTGGAGCACAAAAGCAGTCTTAGGTCGCACAGGTATATTTGTAGCAATAGCCAACAATACATTGTGTGGGTCAAAATTATCCATTTTTTATTTTATGCCAAAATCATTAGGATATTAAGTAAAGATCATGTTCCATGAAGATATTTTGTAAATTTCCTACCGTAAATATATCAAAACTTAATTTTTGATTAGTAATATGCATTGCTAAGAACTTCATTTGGACAACTTTAAAGATGATTTTCTCAATATTTTGATTTTTTTGCACCCTCAGATTCCAGATTTTCAAATAGTTGTATCTTGACCAAATATTGTCCGATCCTAACAAACCATACATCAATGGAAAGCTTATTGTTAAATGGTGAAACAAAACTTTTTTTTTTCTGCCTTTTGCTTGCAAGTAGTTACTTTGTGTGTTAATGGCATGTTTTTTCTGTATTTTTTCGCCCTTTTAAAGATCCCGTACACAAGACAACCCGGAACAGAACGGCATAGTGCCATCTGAGCTGCTAGTGAGTTTGAGAAACTGCTCACAGACGTTTTTATCCAGCATGGCTTGTGGGTTTTTCTGACTAGAGGGAGTAAAAAAAAATGTTGATTTTAATGAAATCGAAATAGACAAAAAGGAAAAGAATTGCAGTTTTGTGGACGAAGCAGTATGCCGTGTCTTTGCCTGTGTACCACACACACTCACTCACTCTCTCTCTCTCTCTCTCTCTCTCACACACACACACACAAACTCACTCACTCACGCACTCTCTCACACACACGCAAACACACACACACACACACACACACACACACAC